CACTCACACAATCTACAACACTTCGTAACCCAACCTCAGACACAGATGAGTGATCGATTACACACGCACCTACAGATGGAACACGTCCAACATCCAAGTTAACCATCTCACCCACTCTCCTGCTCATGTGGCAAAAGATCGATGGATCTGGCCATATACCTTTCACACTCACCGCCGACAAAAGTCAGGGCAGGAGCGGGAGTAGGAATTTGGCTCTCCCCGCCCTTCGCGACTTACACCCGTATCCAGTTCGACTTCAATAGGCAGCAGGGTAGGTAGGTGCACCTTAAAGCCTCTCTAAGGGGGGAAGATTACGTGCTTTTCAAAGGGGGCAAAAGAACGATGGATCTCGCCACAGCTTTCACACTCACCTCCGACAAAAGCCAGGGCATCAACTGGAGTAGGAATTTGGCTCTCCCCGCCCTTCGGGACTTACACACCCGTATCCAGTTCGACTTCAATAGGCAACAGGGTAGGTAGGTGCACTTTAAAGCCTCTCTAAGGGGGCAAGATTACGAGCATTCTAACGAGGGAAAGATTATGTGCATTCTCAGTACATACGCTCCAAGTGACCCCTTGGAAAAAGGTCCTCTTTGTGAACATCCTTCATCAATCCCTCCGGACTGACGTACCTTTGACTACTGCAGGAGACTTCCGTTATTTCACCACCAGATCCCTGTATAGACAGATTGTCCGTTACACAATCGGAACATTGATTACGAGCATTCTGAGCGATGGGTCTAGACGAGGCGGCGATGCTATACGGCCACTTAAAATTGTGTGATGCATGCAAAATGCTGCATCCCACCCAACATTGATTACGTGCATTCTAAGCGATGGGTCTACACGAGGCGGCGATGCTATACGGCCACTCATGTTTGCTTAAAATTGTGTGATGCATGCAAAATGCTACATCCCACCCAACATTCATGGACTTGTCTTAGATCTGGGGCAGAGGCAAATCTCTCTCGTAATAAACAGGGTAATAAAGTTCACGGTCTCGCTCGCCTCTCAAACCTGGCAGCAATGATCATTGTCCAGACATACAACCCATAACCATAAGCCCTATATCATTGTTAAGGCATGCCTCCAAATCATTTGACCACGGAGGAACGGTGTTAACGCTCTCTTTCCACAACACGCATGTCTTAAGAGGGCCCAAAATTCTACGAACTCGACACCGCCCTACATCAGTCGAAGCTTTTTAATGAAGTAGTTGGCAAGCTGTACAGTTTTCGAACTATTGGCCAACCGAAAACGAATCCTCTGACTCGATGATTCAGTGGGGTTCCATAATGGATTAGCACAACTAGGAGAAACAGTGACATAATTGTCTGTCTGTTAAACATGCGCGCGACAAGAAATGCATAATAAAAAGATTGATTCACTGGATGTCATCATGTCGAGCAATAAGGCAAGCGCCTAGCGGAGGACCCACTGGAACGAAGAGCATCTAGGTGAGGACCCACTGGATCATCTACAAGCGTATCTGGACCCACAAGCAGAAGCCTGAAGACTCCAAGCCAGATTCTGTAAGGATGCCTTGAAGGAAACGACGGCTAAGATCTTTCTAAGGAAAGCAAACAAACAGGCATGTGTTAGAATGCAGTCCCGACTCCCGATAGAAAAAAAAAAAACAAAAAAAAACGCCAATTTGATGGTCGCGACCTGCGGCCAATGATGGTATAATCATTCGTCAACTACAACACCACAGTGTGCTATAACGACCCAATAGGCGGAAAAGCAACCTTCGACAATTCGAGAAGGGTGCTGATACAAAACCTGCCTGCCCTCCTAACACTACCCCCCCCCCCCCCCCCCCCCCCCCCCCCCGAAAAAAAAAAGGAAGCCCTGGAAAGGCCTTCCGTTCTATAGAAAGGCTCGTTGAAGCTCTGGAAGGCATGGATGATTTTTCAAAATTGGGTCTGGAGTCTCTGGACTCGATCCCAAAGGAATTCTGACTGAAATTTTGAAATATCTTCGCTGAAGTTTCGGTATCTCACTTTTACGGTTTTACCATGACATTCGATTCATGTTCGAGTAGAATAACCCCAAAGGTCTTTTGAGGGGGGCTCATTATCCAGGAAACAACCACGCTCTCCCACAAAAAGGGAGAAATTTCAGTCTTTAAACAAATCAAGAACTACAAAGCAGTCTACAAACCAATCACACTACCTCCCCATCCCCTCCCTTGCAACCATGCTCTCTCACAGGTGTTAGCCAAAAAGGCCTGCTCCTGCTCATCAACATTGTTCTCCACCATCCAGAACAGTCAGGTTGAATGTCTCATAGACTCGTAGAAAGTTAACAAAAATCAAAGATATTATTATTATTATTATTACAAGTGGACCTTCCGCAGCAAAGCTGTGGCGAACGACAATGACAAAACATTTCGCAAAACTCCCCAGCCATCAGTTGGATCGCATCTTTGCAATGTGCCACTACCAGACACTGCCCAACTTTGCAAAATGCCCCGGCAGTTCCTAAGTTTTCGCATACCAGTAGATTCATTCGATTTTGCTGATCCTATTGATGGAAGTACCCTCCCTCTCTTCTCTCTCTCTCTCTCTCTCTCTCTCTCTCTCTCTCTCTCTCTCTCTCTCTCTC